TCAAAAATATGTTCTTGTCAATCTTGTCATGTATGTATCTTTACGGCATCGAATTCATCAAGTGATACTTTCAAACCAAAACCATGGACCGATTCGGGCGCAAGGATGAGGATGATCCAAGATCTGTAGCCCCAGATTTGAATCTAGCCGTGAACGAGTTGAGGACAAAGGCTGAATGACTGTCTGTTGAATGGCCCTAAAGCGAACATATCGAACCAATCGAAACCACTGGAAATCACCCAGCATTCCCTGCCATAGTGGATTTGGATGGATTTGGATGGAATGTGTTGATTGGCCACTTGTCATTCCTTCGGCCCTAATGTGGCCCACCATAGAGGCTTGAATGGTTGACTCAAATACAACAAATATCAACAGACTGAGGATTCAGAAGAAACCCCTTTGGTTTCGTGGCAGTAGTTTGGGACATAGAGTATTCATCTCTGTGAATTGTATGTACAGGTATCTTCAACCCAGTCTCGGACCATGGCTTGGGCCTCACTGAGCATGGACTTTGTTCGTTTTTTTTGACTATGTTTGACGGTTTCTTATTTGGCATGACTTTGACATCAAACATAGCACACCACTGGACTTGCAATTGACATCATTTGACTTTGAAGCAGTCCATATATCCACCTATGATGTCCTTTCAAGCGAAGGTGTTTGATTTTGTTGCAGTCAGCCTGTTCCATCAAACTGTGTTGACGCAGCCATAGCTGTGACAGGACTTGCCTTTGCTAAGTCAAGGGCCTGTGTCTGTCACTCCTACTGACTGTGAGCAGGAATCTCAAAGCAAGGCTTTGGCCGCACCCTTCCAAAGTCCTTGGATGGCCACAAACTGACAGGTGTCTGATGTTATTTCCATATCGCCCAGAGTCCGGACATTTTCTTGTCTCAATTCTATGAGTGTTGAGGTATCTCTTCTTTGGAGCTGGTTTTCAAGGCGATGCTTTGGACAAAGCGGAAGAGTTTGCTGGGCAACCGCTTTCTGTTTGTATCTCAGACTCGCGAGTCATACCACCTCTGTGACTCAGACTGGACAGCTATAAATGCTGGACATTGCTATACTATGCTTTCTGCTCTATGTGTCTATGTGCTATTTAAGATATTTAAGCATGTATAAGCTAGATATGGCATGATATGGCTAGATATATTATAGCGAGATGCTACTATGCTAGACCTCGGCGGGCTCAGGCGGACCTGCTCTGCCCACCAGACTTGTCGGATGTGGGGCCTTTCGAGGCGCTAGACTTCTCAGTAGAGCCACCGGGACAGAGGATAGATGTAGATAGCATGCGATGATGTGTCCTGTGTTCAATCTGTTCAAAGCATTTGATTTGTTGTTTGCATCATGTTGCATCTCTATTGACTCTATTGTATAGTTTCATCAAGTTTCATAATAGAGTCTTACAATTCTTTTTTTGGATGTATCGTTCAGAAAGCAGGTGAACACTCCTTCGGAGTTGGCGCAGCTGCGAGGGACCCAGATTTGTCATCCAGCCTGCAGACTAAATGATCTAAATGCACGACATGACCACATCATTGTCATCCCTTTGCACTTTGCATCCCTTTGCTGTGGCAAAAGCTAGGCTCGGGAGAGCTGCCTTGTCCTGCTCAAGGTTGTGAGGCTGGCAGGATTACAGGCGGCTTCATGTCTCAACGACATGACACGATCCTGGGCAACATGTTTGAAGTAATGACAGGTTGAACCAGCAGAACCTCTTGAAGAGTCCAACCCTGAGTTACTGGAGGTTCTAAGATGTTCTAAGATGTTCTAAGATGTTCTAAGTAGAAGCTGCAACATTTTGGGTTTGGCCATCACTGCAGATGGCACCACGATCCTTTGCCAAAGGTGCGCCTCACCTATGCTTCTCGCTCATTGCCAGAGTGCTGGTGTCCGTCCCGTTGGATTATACTTGGTGCCTTGATCGAATTTGGAGTCTTTCTGGCTGCAACACTGGAGGATGTTTATCATTGTTTATCATCATGCGGCAGAGAGGTATGTCCATCCCAGCTTCAAGTGGACCCTGGAAGTGCAGAACTTCATTTTGGATCGTAGTATGCTCAGCAAATCTCAGCAATCCGAGTTCAAGTACTTTGTCCCTTGCAGTCTTCAAATGCCCCAGAAGCTCAGTGGCATAAACTCGAGAATCCTAGGCTTGCATTCGCTGGTGCGTCAGTTGGCATTCTCGGCACTATTGCTCGGTTCAGCAGGCCGCTTTTTGCTCATTGAATTTGGAGTCATGTGTTTCAACATGACCAGCATGCTTGTGCGATACTGATGAATTAGGTAGTGATTAAATAGTGATTACTTCTGATAATGTGATATTGTATGATATTGTTATATTGTTTGGATCACTATTTGATATACTTTGATACTATTTGGTAGCGATGGTTGAGGGACAAGGACATGCTTTTTTTTCAGGTGATGTTGCTCTTCGAGCAGTCTCTGCCATGGCTGCGGCGGTTGTCTTTGATGCAGTTGCCCGACAAGCAACTGACAACATCCCATCAGTGCTTGCGCAGGCTTCCACTGCCGGCGGAATGAGGGAAACCCACGAAGACGTTGCCTGTTTTGATCAATGTTTTTTTTATAATTTGTCATTGTCATTTTATTTTTTTTTGTATGCACCAATTTGAAGGTGAGGTTCATGCAAACTGAACTGTGCTGATCCGACCTCTCCTTGGCAGGCTCTGGGTCAAAGGCTTGGTCTTGGGCAAGGCTGCTTTGCAAGCGAGACCTCCGAGCAGGCACCAGTTGCACAATCTGATTTTCACAAGCAAGAATACTTAAGATTAAAAGATACATAGCCATAGCTGCATAATCACAGCTAGTCTTTTTTCAAGAATTCTTGAACCATCGACACCAGCAGATTGATAGGTGATCACCCGTCCTTCCGCACTACGAGCACGCAGTGCAATTCTGGAATACTTCGAGGCAGCACTCTGCTGTTGATCGCAGAAGAGAAACCACAGTCCTGGATATCCATTTTTGAAGTAGACGATTCAAACTTAAAACAGAGATCATAGAGATCGAAAGAATTAGACTGCCTGCTGCCAGCACAAGATGGAGGCCGCATCTGTTGCTGGCCAGCAGCCTGTGTTTCTTGCAGCAGAGGCTGGTAGCATCATTTTTGGTATGACAGCTCACAATTCAACATTCCGTAGGTTGCTCGAGAAATTCCTCCTGGTACTTGCATAATCTTACGTAACTTATTAATTTCGCAACTACAACATGTCACGACACCAAACCCTGTCTCCTGCAAACTAGATTTCTTATGATTTTTTCATGCATTGTACCATGCGTAGATACTTCGCTGGCTAGACTCAGTGACTGGTCTTCCATCTTTTTCCAACGTGGTGAGGTAGGTGAGACTGAGCAACGCCTCGTCAATGGTTGCTCGTTGCTGTTGGGTTCTATACTGAGCTGAAGCTGCCCCATGCTGCCACTATGTTCTCACATCCTTTCTATCTGGGAAAGCAGCACTTGGACTATTGCCCTCTCGTTCTCAACTTGTTCTGTGACATTTTTGTATCAGCAACTTATCAGCTCTTCTTTGGGATCTTTGGGCTTCGCTTTTGCAGTCAAGGTCTGGGCCCTGTCCGCTCTCGAGCAGCTCAGCTGTTGTCCGGAGAGGAGCCACCTGGAAGACTCAGCAACTCACAGATACTGCAAGAAATTGCAAGAAACCTAAAGTTCAGCAAAGACAACTAGAGGAGAGTAAGACAATGATTGTAAGACATTTTTTTGTGATGAACCAGTTTCAAAGGACCCAGCACTGGTCAGCCAGTTGCCGCCTGCTTGGAATCTGTGCAGAGTTGTTTTTTTTTCAGCTTGTTAGGCTGTTAGACAGCTGTTGGAGATGGAAAAAGCATTTGCACCCCGATGGAACCTGTGGTGAGGCCTCAACTGGCCATGATGCGAGATGTGGCCTTTATTTCCCAGCTGCTTGGTCATTGAAACGCAGTCTTTGTACAGTCATGACTTCCGGGCCATTCCCAGTGCTGCTTTTCGTTCACACACGTGTGCTTGAGGCTGCTTTCCCGAAGCGGATCTTTGCCATTCACTGCGTGGCCAACTCAGGATTCCGTATGCATCCCTTGTCCAGCTTAGGGTCCAGTGTGCTGATACATGATTGGGGAAGAAGGTTTCAGTTACAGTGCTCTTGTATGCTCTTGTCATATTAACATATTTATATTAACCCATACTATTTCATATGATATATTCAATTCACAGTATCATAGTATGTCAACCCTCAATGTCCCATGAAGTGTTGGGTCTATGTGTGAAGGCCCAGAGGGTGCACCCAACAAAGCGTGGTCTTGCACGGGATCCCAGAGAGCCAGCTGGAACTGAGTAGTATCTGCATCCGCACGCTGCGAGGACATGGAAAAGTCAAGAAGGAAGTACTTCGCTGACTGTGCAAAACTCAGCGGCCCCGCACTAAACGAAACGAACGAAACACCCCAAGTACACTTACAACGGAGCATGACACTTTATGCAACAATGTACAGTATTTTCTTGCGGCTTTTTGGGCTGTTTTTAAAGCAGTACTGCGAGGTGCGCGGACTTGGGCAAGGACAGAACACAGTTTGGAGCACAGAGGGACATGGACAATTTATCAAAAAATGTTGTTGCAATTCTAACTTTCGTCATGGTGGGATGCAATGCATGATACTCTTGAGGCTTTGGAATCACTTCTGCCAGTTGCAGCCCATGGATCAAAGGACAATTTGAAGTCTTTGTCCAGTGTGTGGCCGCGGTCTCTGCTGTCTCACCCATCAATTCTGCCGCACACCTTACACACCTCCTAACACACCTTATAGGAATAGCGTTTTTTTAAGTGCCTGGGCTCCCAAGTTTGGTTTATCCTCCAGGACAAACAGACTGGGGCAGAGCGGGTCTTGGCCAGAATGAAGAAGGGCCTTTTGGGCCTGACTGGTGCTGAACGGTCCGTGGCTGAGTTGGGGAACAGAGCCGGAAGCGATCTCCCAAGTAGATGATGCAGTATCAGTATATTACATATATAATCATATATATACATATATATATATTTATTTATACACATTATATAACTATTGTAAATTATAATTTAATTGTATATAATGCAGTTGGAATCGTTGAACTTTGTGCTGTTGTACTTGCAGCAAGGCGTGGTGCTGCAGCTTCACAGGTGGCTGTTGCATGCTCATGTCAGTAGCAATAGGTAGAAGACTTGGCCACCAGCTGCACCAGATGCTAAGACACATGTTTTTCCAAAAAATCTCGACATAGACTACATGATCCTACTTTGTAACTGCAAGAGTCAAAAAGAACTCTCTTTGTTGATAGCATTCCACGGCTCTGAGAGGCAGATCCTGGCGCTCTCATCGGAGAAAAGCTCCGTACAGAGGAGGTGCAACATGAAAATCATAGGCGTTGAGGGCATGGCATGATATGGCATGGCTCGATGTCAAACTTTCCTTTTCCCTCACTTCAGGATGTGCTCTTCCTTCCATCTGCCAAGCTACGTGGATTTGAAGGTCTATCTGCATCGGTATTGGCCTTAGAGCCTTTTAGGGTTTGTGATGCTATGTCAGGAAGATCACCTCTGATGAATCCAGCATGCAGAGCTAAGGAAGCAGAAGTTGTGCTGACAATGCTGTCATCCTGCCTGTTGAACTAATTTGTTGCTCTTACAGACTCTTGCCTCATCAAATTGCGCTGGAAATTGTCATGTCTTCCTGTGACGCATATGAGACCTTTCGCGACAGGTTGGCTCCATATCTGCGGATACCACTCCTATTGGGTTTCTTGGGGACTTGGCAACGCGTGGGTGCCCTCGCAGACGATCGGCTGCAGGTCAGTCTCTCAATGACCGATCCATGCCGATGGTATGCTTCTGTGATAGAGTAATTATGAGTAATTATATAATATACATGTATGACATTTGTATGACTCTGTTTGACGTTGTCTTCTGATGTTTGATGTTGTTTCTGGTCGTACGTCTTTTGAAACCGGCTTAGCAAATCGGAAGCGGGTGACAGCACCACGCCATCTTCATGCCGAGGGTGTCCTGGAAGCTGCAGTGTTTGAGCCCGGTCCATGGCGATCAACGACTTGTCCTCGGGAAGTGCCCAAGGCCGGTAATCCTTTGACATCCTTATTCACTAATTTGACTAGCGTGTTATAATATGTTATAGCATGTTTGAAGATTCATATGATACTAGTGCCTATGCACACCTGAGGTGATCCCAGCACAGGACTTAGTTGAACAATGTTGAACATTCTGCCTATTTTCTTGGGGAATCCGGAAATCCTCGGAGGAATCACAGCATCACTGCATCACTGTTTCTTCCTTTAAGCTTTCAGAGTCTTTTTTTTTTTTGCACTTTGGCCAAGGCCCCGACACGAAGCCATCTAGCAACTACGTGTGGCCTGCTCATCAACGAGTGTTGGGCCTGGTTTTGAGTTTGATTTCTATGCTTTGGGAGTGTTTAGTGAATTCATGGCAAGCACAAAGATGAAATAGTGGTTCTTGCAGCAATCTTTGCCGATTCTTCATAATTTGCTTCCGTACAACATAGTACAGCAAACCAAAGTAGCAGAACAGCACATTGCCTGACCTTCCCGTTGGATATAGCATGGTTGTTTGTGCATTGACCGTCAGTGTCATTCAATTTTTATTTCTTTTGCAGTGGAGAAGTTGGCAGAGATGGAGAGAGAAGTGCTCGAGTAATTGCAGCTCGCAAGGCTATGCAATGCTCCACAGGCCACCACGTAACGGACTTACAGCCATTGGATCTGGCTGAGCGACAAAAATACTTCATTGATTCAATGAATCTTCTGAAGTGTTCAGCAAGATTCGTCGTCGATTGAGATGGATTAAGCAAGACCTCTCAGCTTGAAACAAAATTCAATTGCATGTTGAGGACTGGAGCA